GAAAATATCTTTGATCTATAACCCTCCCTTGGTTCAGAATGCATGTGTGGCTCTCATGGTGTCAAATGCCTCGTTTCCAAGTGCGGCAGGGACGAGACGCTGCTGGGCTTTGAAGAGTGACTACGGGCATGGACAGCGAGAGGCCGCACACGACAGCCACAAAGACACGGAGGTTGAGGCTCCCTCTGCCACGTCCTGACACCACCTCTGGCCCCGCATGCCTATGAGACCTTGTGAGGAAAAGGTCTGACTGAGGCTGAAATTCCCACAGTCCGCTGCATGGAGGCTTGGGGTCAGTTTAATCTGGGTTCAAGAAAAGGAATGCATCTTATACATTTCTGAGCTTATGAGGGAAAACTTTTAACTGGGACATTCGTAACTCGGGGGTGGCTGAGGGGCAGACTTCCCAGCGTCCCCTGGAGAGTGAAGGCCTTGATTCCCTGCCGATGTGCAACCACCACCCTCCTGTCCCTGGAGCGCTTGTGTTGTCATCAGGATTCAGCAGAGCTTCTAGACTAAGACCAGGAAGAAAGGCCTGGCAACAGGCACCTGAAAACCCAAAGACCACCATGGTTCAGCCTGTTGTGCGTGGCTTGTCACACAGGAGCACGACTTGATGGTAACTAACAACAGCATTACCCTTGTAACTGGGAAACCCGAGGTGCCTTTTTAGCCTGAACAACTTTCTCCCTAGAGTCTCAAAGGGACATCCTGAGTGGCTAGAAATCTCTCCGGGCACGGTCTTTGATCCACCGTAGGAGGGGCAAACATGTTGCTCTTACGTCCACAGTCGTGGAGAGAACAGGTCAATGCATGTGGGCCTTCTCTGCTACCCATGGTGGAGCTAGGCAGAGAGGGCGTGCCAACCTCACCGCCAGGAACATCCAAAACAATCAAATGGGTGCTGACTGCCGACATCACTGCCCTCCTCCAGGCGGGAAGACCTACCCCACCTACCCCAGCCGCCCCGTCATTCCTGCCAGTTTCATTTCTTTCCCTTGCAGGCCATCACTGACCTTTATGAAGTCGACCTTCTCCTCGTGACACAGCTCCTCGATGGTTTCCATCAGCTCTTTACACGTTTCAAGGTTTTCTCCGCAGCTGACCAGTTGCCCGTACAAGGCTTCCAGCTTCTCTCTCTTTTTCTCCCCCAGAACTTGAATTTTTCTTTCATACTTTTGAGCGAGTGTTTCCAAGATCTCATTGTAGTGTGACTCAAAGTTTTGTTCTTGTCTTCCAAAATTCTCCTACAAGACAGTTGACCTCGGCCATCATTTCAGGGCATGGACCGTGTCAGCCACAGGCACCAGGGGCAGGGCAGTGCATCTACCGGGGTGGTCTCAGCTCCTCAGCTTTGTCTTACTAGCCCTCTTCAGGATGCTTTCAGCCTAGAACGCGGGGGATGATTTTACAGGAAGTACCGCTTTCTCTCTGGCAGCTGTTGGCAACCCTTTCCCAGGTGAACCACCTCCGTCAACCTAACTACAGGTGAGGGAGATGATCAGTGAAGAATCAGCCTGCCTCTGAAATCCTAGATCCTTCCACACAGATGCTCACCCTACCTTTTCCTGTCGGATCCTCCACTTTCTGATGCTTGGATCATGCAAACACCAGGGTCACACTGAACCTCATAACCAGGGGAGAGGTAAAGACAAAAGGGGGTAACGGTCATTCCAAGTGGGCCTGCCTAATAGCTGAGCAAAGGCAGAAAGGCAGAGGCACGGTGGTGACAGTACTTAATTCTGGAATGTGGTGGGTGAGAAATATTACAGCATATTAATTCCTGGTCTCTGATCTCAGATCAGATGTCCAGAAGAGCTATGCAGATGATTCTGATTGATAGCCTCCTCATCAGATGATTGGGGCATTTCCAAAGAAGGTACCTGTATCAATCATTCAGGGACTCTTTACTGAGCACCTATTATGTGCATGAGACTTGATGGAAGTGGAAAAGCAAGAGCTGGCCTCCTAGTGTTGAAAACGAAAGGATAAGGATGAAGAGACTTTGCTCTCCTGTGTGCACTGACAGCGTGAGCACTTTTGTCCTTGGAGGGTGAAGGCTTGTGCCTCCACAACGCAATCACTCTTTCAACAGTGGGGTAAAGAGATCTAGCTGTGGTCAGAAGAGGACGTAGAATGAAGGATGTCATTGCTGATGTCAGATGGATCTTGGCTAAAAGCTGACACTACCGGAAAGAGGTTTACTGATGTGTTATTGAATATGCACAGGCATTGGACTGTGTGGATCATAAGAAACTATAGATAAGAATGGGAATTCCAGAACACTTCATTGTCTTCATGTGGAACCTGTACACAGACCAAGAGGCAGTCATACAAACAGAGCAAGGGATAGTGCATGGTTTAAAATCAGAAAAGGTGTGTGTCAGGGTTGTATCCTCTGGCCCTAATTATTCCATCTGTATGCTGAGCAAATAGAAGATCTGGGCTATCCGAAGATGAACTTGGAAGAGGGCTTATTAACAAACTTCAATATGCAGATGACACAATCTTGCTTGCTGAAGGAGAGGAGAATGTGAAGCATTTGCTGATGAAGATCAAGGGCGGCAGCCTTTAATGTGGATCACAACTCACGTGAGGGTGATCTGACTGGACATCTGTCAGCCCATGGACCGCCACGCTGATTCGGCTGATCCGGCTGGCTGATCCGGTGTCCCCTTCCTTCCTCACTACTCCATTCCTCCCACAGCTTCAAGCTCAGCTGAAGAGGATGATCTTCCTCAAGAGAAGGGGATTGTCCTTTGGTCAAGGGTATATGGGTAACTTCGCTCCCCTGCTAGATCCTCTAAACAAACTCCCGTGTAGATTGCAACTCTGTGGAGAGAAAATGCAATCGTCACTACTGTACCGATAGTCGGCACCATGATAAATGCAGAAAAGATTGAGGTTGGCAAGGATTTCATTTTGGTTGGCTCCACACTCAGCGCTCATGGAAGCAGCAAATTAAGAATCAAAAAGAGATATTGCACTGGGCAAATCTGCTGCACAAGAACTCTCAAGAGTTGAAGATCAAGGGTGTCACTTTGAGAGCTAAGATGCATCTAATCCAAGCCATGGTAGTTTCTGTCACCGCATATACACGTGAAAGTTAGACAGCGAGTAAGGAAGACCACAGAAGAATTAGTGCATTTGATTGTGGTGCTGGCAAGGAAAAACAGAAGTACTGTGGACCGCCAGAAGACGTATATTCTTGGAAGAAGTATGGCCAGAATTCTCCTGAGAAGCGAGTAGGATGAGACTTTGTCTCACTTACTTTGGGTATGTTATCATGCTTGGTAAAACAGAGGAACAGTGAAAAATAGGAAGACCCTCAAGGAGATGGATTGACGCAGCAACTGCAACAATGGGCTCAAACATAAAAATAATTGTGAGGATGGCGCAGGACTGGCAGTGTTTTGTTCTGTTGACCACAGGGCCTCTGCGTCTGCCGTAGTTACACAGTTTCATGTCAACTTGAAGATATATGAAAGTGTAGGGGTGGAGGTTAGTTAGCCTGTCAGTCAGGTCACAGCCTGACTGATGACTCTTTGTGGGCGTGGCCTCATAAGGAGAGGCCTGGGAAACCCCCACCCCACCCTCTCTGCCTTCACCTTCCTGACCCTGATGGCTGCCAGAGCCACTGCCATTGGATCCACATGACTTTGCACCTCCCGCCTGTGATCTTCCTGCAATCTGTGCTTTACTGCACAAGAGTCTGAAGAGGGACTTACGGACTGGTATCAGACTTACAGACTTGAGTTGGGCTGGGTTGGGATGTTATCTCGATATACAATCCTTGATGTAAATCTCTTTCTTACACATCTGAGTGTCACTGGATTTATTTCTCTTGTCAACCCAACCCAGCCTAACACAGAGTTGAAACTGACTTGATGGCACCCAACACTGCCACCATCAAAGGCAGGCTAGATGTCTTGCAATGCCTTATCCAGGCTGTCCCTGAAAGAGGAACTTGTCTTGCTCGGTGTGGTTCTAGGGACCCATTTAGGACTGGGGGGCGGAAGTTATAGAGCAGTGGCTCTGTCTCAGTAGTCAGGGTCTGAAACTTTCTCCTTTGTCTCAAGAGCCCTCAGTCTGCCCCAGGTCAGGAATGAGGTGGAGAGGAGCCACAAAGGGGATTTCTATGATTGTTACTGATCTCTCAAGGAAAGCCTGGACATTCCTAAATGATTATTATTATTTAAATCCATAGACACCTAAAAGCACGTGTTTGAGTGGCCTCAAGATTGCCTACTAAAACTGCGGGATAAGTTTCTACGTAGCTGCAGGTACTCAACATTGCCACATTGCAGGTGCTTCCAAAGCCTAGAACGAACAACCCGAGAACAAGGAAACAAGCTGGGGCCCTACAGTCTCCACTACACAGCCGGCGCATCGAATAGCACCCAAGGGGTTCTCTCAGTGGATGGGATAGTAGCAAGCACACATTTGCACACACATGTGCGCACGCACGTGAGTACACACACACACACACTGACCAAAGGAAGCTGTCCGCATCTTTACTGCCCGGGTTGAAAGGCGGGCTTCTGCTGATATGCCATCTTTAAATCATCCGTCTAAGCCATGACAGCTCGTGACTCAGGTAGAAAGGGCATGAGAAGAAAGAAGAGCCAGCAAAGGAAAGAAACAGAACCACACTCACTGCCACGCAGTGGATTCCAACTCATAGTGACCCTGTTGGACAGGGTAGTCCTGCCCTGTGGGCTTCTGAGACTGTATCTCTTGTTTTTTGTTTTTTTAAAAAACAACAGTTTTATTGGCAATTTGCCCAAATATCATACAATTCAATAGTTCAATCCTATCGAGATGAGTTGTTCAATCTTTACCACAATCACTTTTAGGATATTTTCTTCTTCCTTCTACTTGACTGTAACTCTCCGTGGGAGTGGAATGTCTCGTCTTTTCCCCACGGAGCAGCTGGTGTTTTTGAACTGGTCACCTTGCCGTTCCCAGTCCACCATGGCACCACTGGGCCACCGGGGCTCTGGGCAGTGAAGAAGGATGGTGCTCAGAATGTCTGAGTTGTAGGAGGACTAGGGATCTAAGGATGCAGAAGACCCAGCCTCCTAATTCTGAAAGCCTCAGGAGGGAATAGCAACAGGTCATTTGTTCCATGAGGGGACTTCAAAAAGCTCGTAGAAAAATTCCATTCCATTCTGTTTATCCACCACCCTGTTTCAAATTTCCCTCCTGGAGTACCATGAGAGGCCAGGAGAAGGGGTGCGGGTACGGGTCAGGACGGAGCCAGGCAAAATTCTCTATCTGTGGCACCTCATGTTTCAAGGAGCTAGATTCTCTGACCTGTAACAAAGGCACCCTGGTGGCGCCATGGTTAAGTGCTTAACTGCTAACTGAAAGGTCAGCAGTTCAAACCCACCCAATGGCTCCATGGAAAAAAGACCTGATGATCTGCTTCTATAAAGGTGACAACTAAGAAACCCCCCGGGCAATGTTCCTCTGTCACACGGGGTCACCATGAGCCAAACACCAACTTGCCAGCACCTCACCCCCCGCCCCCCCACCAGAAATACCTACTGCTCCGGCCACTGCCGGCAGAGCAACAAAGCATGCCTTACCTCTACCGTGATGAAAACCTCCTCCAAATGGCTCGCAAAGTTCTCCATCTCAATGATCTGCTTCTCCAGCTTGAACATGTTTTTGTGAACTTCATCCTATCAAACCAAGGAGCACAAGAGAGCATGAAGGTAACGCCCACCCGGCTCCCACCCTCTCTCAGAAGGCATATTCGGCTTGGAGCCCTGGTGGCATAGTGGTTATGTATTGGGCTGCAATCCGAAAGGTCTACCGTTTGAAACCACCAGCTGCTCTGCAGGAGCAAGTCCAGGCTTTCTACTCCTGTAAACAATCATAGTCTCGGAAACCCACAGGGGAAGTTCTACGTTGTCCTATTGGGTGGCTGTGAGTTGTCACCGGCTGGATGGAAGCGAGTTTATATTAGGCTTGTCCCCAACTACATCCCTGAGATCCAGATGTTCTTTCCAGAAGAAGAAAAAGAGCCCAGGAGGCCAGCTTACCTTGGCACTTTCCAGTGCTTTCTCCAGCGGGGTCACCTGGTGCTCCTGGTGTTCTTCCAGATCCTTCTCACAGGCTCTTACTGGAGTTTTGCAAGTGACACAAAAGACGGTGGGCGCGTCCTCCTCATCCTCCTCCTCTGGGATGACATAGCATTCATACTCCTCGCTGGACCGGCCACGTGTGTACCTGTAGGCTTCTCGCAGGTTCTGGCACTGGTCTGTGGAGCCCCACCCTCCGAAGCTCAGGTCCTCGGCCTCGGCCACCTCTCCACCCACTCGCCAGTCCCTCTGTTCCCTGGCCGCTTCTCTCCTCCTCATCACACAAGGAGGAAACTCCGAAAGGTCCTTCCCATGTGCATTTTCACCTGCGAACTCCTCCCCTAACTCATGATCATCTTCCAGGCCGTACAAACGGGCGATCGCATCCTCTTCCTCCAGAATGTTTCCTGGAACCCGACATTTTGCCGCGGCCCTTGGCTCCGTGGTCATTTCGGCCTGAGCGACTTCTCTTCCCATCCTAGTGTTTTCCTCTGGGAAGATGGGCAGTCTGTCTTCAGACTCATACAGATCCATGTGATAGAAGAGGAAGTCCTTGGGAGCAGTCGACCTGGGCAGCTCGGGCTCCTCCCGGGCTTCCTCCTCCATGGTCGCGCCCGAAGTCCTGGGCAGCACCTTTGCACAAGAGGGAGCCTCCTTGGTCAGTTAACAGCGAATCAGTAATACGAGGGGTCCTATAACACAAGTGGAGGAGGGAAAGTTAGCTTCAGAAGAGGTCGTGGCAGTAGGCGGCCAACACTCTGAGCTCTGTTCATTCACAATTTGTAAATGCCATTTGAGCAGCTTGGTTGTGATTGCATTTTGAACTATCCCATCTGAACCCTGGTGGCCTAGTGGTCACATGTTGGGCTGCTAACCACAGGTCAACAGTTTGAAGCCACCAGCTGCTCCATGGGAGAAAGAGGAGGCTTTTACTCCCGTAAAGAGTTACAGTCTCCGAAACCCACAGAGGCAGTTCTACCTGTCCTGTCGGTTTGCAATGAGTCAGCATTGACTCGATGGCCATGAGTCTGGTTTAGTTTGGATTTTTAAAGCAAGGCTGTCTTCTGTAGGAGGATGGGCTGTCTAAGTTTTTAAAAGACAAACAAGGCCACAAAGAAACATCAATAGATTTGACCACCAGAAGCCTCCTGTATATAAAATAACTCCAAAGGCAAAAGAATGGGAGGAGTCCCAGGCAATTAGTACTACAAATATTGTACATGTTAATTTTAAAAAGCTAAGAACTCAGTAGATGAATGTACAAGAACAATTCACAGAAGAAATGCTCTTGTGTATGCTATTAACTGTAAGGCGCTCTGGCAGTGCAACAGGAAAGCACTTGGCTGCTAACCTATAGGTTGGTGGTTCAAATCCACCTGATGGCTCCACAGGAGGAAGACTTGCAATTTCTTCCTGTGTTAGACAGGGTTCTCTAGAGAGATAAAACCAGATTGCTGATAATTATATATATATTTTTATAAAGATATATATATATATA